CTCCGATTTCTCTTTTTGTACGGAGTACTTTGTAGTTTGATTTTCTGAGTATGCAGTAGCCTGTGGGTAGGATCTTCCGGTCGATCATGAGGGGATTTATCCACTGTTCTCTCTCATTAGAGTCATTACTACAGAGTGCAGTTAAATACTCCATACAAGCTATGGCGTAGAAGGATTTGAGCTGCAGGAAAGCCGTGTCAGCGGGGCGATCCGTATTCCACAAATCAACACTAAAAGGTGGCTTGTAAGAGGTCTTGGCAAAATGGGTGCTCAGCCCAACAAATAATCAATCCTCATTAAGGGATGATGTTTGCTTGCCAAGTGGTCGAAGAGAAGGCCCAAACTACTAAGCTGTATCTACCTAGTAGTGTACGGCTTCCTCCGTCCTCCGTCTCCGTCGCCGGAATAAGTGACTACTTTACTTTACCATCGTCTTGTCGGACTTGAAGCTCTTCAGCTGGGTTACTGGCTAATGTTCCACTCCCACCGGCTGCTGTAGTAGATTAAGGAGCAGGAACGCGTTTGTAGGACAGGCTAAGTGAGACCGCAGAGTACAGGACGAGGTAGATTAGTGGGGATGATGTGCAGGAGGAATGGAGACCACAGTTTAGTAACAGTTTAGTAAGGTAGTCTGGAACTGAGCTGGCCCGTTTCGAAGAATTTCATTAGTGATCATCAGAGTCAAACACGTCTAGAGACACGAACTTATCCACTTAGGCTACTTAGACTAGAAACTCCCTCTCAAGTCTCAACTCTGACTCTCAACAAATACCAATATTATTGAGCACCTCGGTCTGTGGATGTTCTGCCGTCTTTCCGCCCGTCGTTTCCTTGTTGGGTAATTCATTAGCGGCTGAAGTCTGACGGGCCTGTCTATGGTATTATCAGTGACGAATAACTTGACTAGGTTGCGGCCATCGCTTCAGATCTCACGGGGTGGACTTGCTCGTCCCGTCTTACAGTTCTTCCTACAGGCTACAATCTCCCATGTATTCCGTATGGGTCACTAATAATAGATGCGACTGGTATCCCCATTTCCCCCCATGCTTCATAACAGGATGAACAAGCGTAGAAGATCAGGCCCATCGCACATGGCTCATCGTTATCAAAGTACAGAGTAAGAGCAGTTGACACTGACATTATGGATAAGATCATCAAAGGCTTAATCAAAGTACCCGTCCTAAAGCTACCTCTGGAGCACAACTGTCGCCAGTCATCGCCCCAATAGGAAATGACGGGTCAATCAGTATTGTTATTCCCTCGGCCGTGGCCGATCGGACGTTTGACCGGCAAGTGTCTCTGTCATATCACCTCAATGGTTGACTAACTAGCATGATATATCTGTTTTCAAGGTACTACTCAAGTCCAGATTGTTCTAACCCTAATAATTCCTAACCAAACCCTGGAGCGCAGAGTACGAAGTAATCGCCCAATATTAACAGCATATGATTGTGGATAGAACTGAAGTCGCACTGGCAGGGTTCGTGAGACCAGCAAATTAACTCCTGTAAGCTCCAAATCTGCGACATGCCCCTGCATCTTGCATACGCCGTCGCCTACAGAAAAATGGAGTCGATGGGCCTCGCCTGCGCAGTTAGCGGGTCACCCAGCACGGAGACTCGGTGGGAGGTTACCTCTGTTTGTTTGTCTGTTTCAGATTCAGCCGAATCCGAAGATATATCTCGATTTCTCAACAAGCTTTCTCAACTCCTGATCTCAGAGTCAGAGGTCTTAGACTCGACAGGATTATGAAGTTCTTTGAGACAAGGGGAAGACTACGTAGTAGCCATCGTCTCTTTGGGTACGGAGTACTGGAGAGTACACAATTGAGTTTGGCGTTGGAACGCCGGATTATTTTCCATATTTACTGGCAAGTCGTGCCACGTTCACTGCAGACGCAGTCATACAGCTGTGGCTGCAAAATTAGACTAATACCTATTTTGATTAAAGCTGCGTGCTTACGCGGGTGGTTGTTTGTGGTGGAAATTGGGAGTGAGATGGTGGCATGGTGCGCTGTTAAGGTTTCTGTGCTCTGTTAAGGTTAGGGGCGTTCTCGGATAATTTATCGTGATTTTTATTGTGGTGTGGCCTAGCAATAATATTAACATTGTTAACTTTTATTGTGGCGCTGCTATTTGTAGATAGGTGTTTATTCCATATTTAGTGAGGTTGTATTTAGGCTGTTGTCCTTGCTTCCTTCCAGACGAGAGGTGAGACTTGTCTCAAGCTCCTTTCGAAGTCAATTTCGATAAAGTTCTTGATGCTGAAACCTCAAATTATGGTCTCGGAGACCTCGCTTTCGTTCGCTCTGCTTTTGACAATTGCTTACCTTGGCAGTGTTGGCGTGCTGCCCAGTCCTGGGCTTGATTCTCCCTTTCCAAGTGTGTATACAAGTTACCCTGCCATGACAACTCAGGCCGCTGCTGACTGGATCGCTTATTGGACCATATGAGTGCCTAAAATGAGGGCTCTTCTCACTCTGGGGCAAACCGACTCTTGACATCAACGTACTGTGTATACTTGATCTTCAAGATGATGTCAGTTTGGTTTTGACTTTTGCCATTCTCAAACCTTGGCGATATCGAACATCCAGAGAACAGTGGCTGGCATATCTGCTAGTGGCAATCACTCCAAACCTTACCCCGGACAGTGAACCAAAGGATCAAAAAGGCCAATGGCATCATCCTCGCTTACAATGGCCACAGGAAAGTCATGAGAAAGGGGATCGCCGATCAGCCTCGATATGACTACCAACTAACTGATGTGATCTTTCCTACTTCGACAAAGATGCCAGGAACGATTATTGCCTGATGTCCCGCTATCCAAGACAAAGTAGATACTTTATGGGTGGGGTACCATTTCAATATTTTTGCTCTAAGCCTGAGAACGCTCTCTCAGTCTATGCAATGCCACGAGACAGCCACGTTTTTCTTGCTTGGCAGCCGCTCTCTTGGGACTAGCATTGCGGATTATGGAGTATACTCTTGGACTGGGTGAGCGTCAAACCTCTTCGAGCCGGCTTCATGCCATGTCAAATGCCGAGACTACTGGATAACCCCGGATACAACTGGGGGTCTGGGGATAGTGCAATAATTAGGACCTGCTCCAAAACGATTCCGTTCATTGCAGGTCGATGAGGTTTTCCCGGTCCAGACTCGGCTACCTTTCGGTTCGGCGGAGCGGAAGTCACTGAGAACTGGGAGGAATCACTCAGGCCCCAACCAGAAGGCACTGGCCTTTGAGTTATGGGAGTTTTATGGGCTCAGAGATGCTCTTGGGCTCCACTCAGGACCCTTACTTTTGTTTTCTGGCTAAGTCTGAACTCTGGGCTTTTGTCCTGAGAGCTGGCGGCGCGGTGCTAGCAGCGTCAGCATGAGCAACTCACAGCTTGGTTCCAGGTGGGGAATACGAACCAGTCAGAAAAACCGGGGTAGCTGCATTTATCAGAAGGTGTCCATTCCTGAATCATCAGAGTACTATCTCCACTGTACGAATTACGAATAACCGATTCTTTCGCCGAGAATGGAAAGAGACGCAAGAGTGTGAAAGCGGGGTCGACGACGCAATTGTCTGGAGAACCACCTGGAGAAGCGGAAGTTGGCGGATCCTCACAACATCAGACTTGGAGCATGACCTAGTCCTTGCTGCTCGGCAACTTTCTATATGTCAGCATCTATCGCGGCCCGTATATCTTGTTGGGGTAGATGCCGGTCAAATGACCTCTGTAGCGCTGTAGATCCGCGTCTCGCTTTCCCGTCGTTCAAAGCGATGATGTATCAAGACGGTCGATCAGTGATTGATACTGAGCTGATGATCGGCCTTGAAAGAAAATAGGATGACCAAGATATCTCTCTAAAATCGCCGGGTCGGTGAAAGTTACCGGAGAAAAGAAGCGGTCAGTCGCTCAATCACAATCCGGACTGGGTTGTAGAAACTATCGAAATCACGTTGGGTTTATCTTGAGAATCTCACCCGACTTCAATAGTTAGACAATAGCGCACTTTGCTAGGTGGCGCCCGTCGTATGGAATTGTCGCGTTCGTCTCAACAGACCTTGGGACAGTCACCACTCATATCGTCGTCGATTAGCTGAGCGTACTATAAGGAGAAGGGCAGTTGCCTGGGTGAGAAGCCTTCATGGAGTGGTCCAAAATTCTCTCATGAGATGAATTATAATTTTCTCGTACTCAACTGTCTGAGGAGCAATGCTCAATGGCATATCTTGTCATCGTGGTGTCGATTGCTGATGCGAACTAACCTGAGATATCTTTGTGGCACTAATGGCCACTTGATCAGAGAGTGTCTCCCTGCACAGCAGGGGAGGTTGGACCATAGAGCTTTCTGAACAAGTTTCTCATCTGAAAGTGTTTGACCTGTCTCAAGCGCATTATCTGCTATGAGTGACAGCTCACTGTCAATGTTGAATGGACTCATTTTATGATCCTCCATCAAGACTCTACTTGCATGTGCTCACAAAGTGACGGATAAAAAGTTTCTAATGAACATCCTGATAATGCACGTCTTATCCCATCATGGCTACAGCAACCTCTCTCCGCGTGCGGGGATTGATATTGTCTTTATCAGTGATATATCCTGTGTGATGGAGAGGATTACCACCTGCTTCTTTTGGACAGATCTCCAAAATTGGAGTATCTACCCAGCACACGCTTCTCCGAGTTATCATGGTCTCTGTCGCTTACGCGACATAAACTCATTCCTCGAGGAGGATCGATTGGACCAAGTCCTTGTCAGTTGAAGAAGCTTGTATCGACATGTCTATCATCGCAATTGCGACTGCTCTCTCACTATCAGGCTCCAATCATCCATTCACGGAAGGTCATTGATCTGCGAGGCATTCTGTCTGCGACCGCGCTGATAACAGGGGCATCGCAAATGTATGTATAAGAAGAGTAGCAATGCTATCATGTGGAGCCCTTTCTTCAGAACTTTGGCTACAACAATAGTGCTTTGCGCACAGTACCTGAAGTAGGTGACTTGAGCATGGATATCGAAGCAAAGAAGTTCGGCCCTGCAGCTTCAACTGAGGCAGACGCAGCCTTGGGTTTCCTTGCCTCCGAAGGAACGGCGGCACTTACCGAGATCGATGAAAAGAAGCTCGTTCGTAAGATTGACTGGATGATCGTCCCACGTATGTGGGCAATTTATTTTCTCCAGTATCAAGACAAGATTCTGAGTAAGTAAGACCTCCTGGACGGATTCGATTCCTGCAGCGACTTACGCTACCTCAAGTCAACTATGCCTCCGTCATGGGCTTGCTCAAGGATACCGGCATGCAGACGGACCAGTTCTCCAAGCTGGCCTTAGCGTTTTATGTTTCTTACCTGTTCTTCGAGTTTCCAACGGGATATCTCATGCAACGTTTGCCTATCGCAAAATACCTTGGCCTCAATGGTCTGAGCTCTCGTCATTAGGCATGTTATGCAGTGCTTACAGGCTGTAGTGACGCTATGGGGACTCCTGACTACCTTGAACTGTGCTGCGCAGAATTATGCTGGACTCATTGTCCTCCGTGTCCTGCTAGGATGTTTTGAAAGCGCAGTTGCTCCGGCGTATGTTGCCAACTCCTGCAATCTCAATGTCCGAGAACATTCTGACGGGTACCAGACTGATCTTGATTACTTCCATGTGGTACAAGAGGAATGGTAAGGTGTACCTCTCACGGCTGAGGATGTTGCTAACCTTCGCAGAACAGCCCAAGCGGATAGGTTTCTGGTATTTAGGTACTAAAACGGCCACCATCTTTGGAGCTCTTGTTGCATATGGGCTCCTCTTCTATACAGGCGATCGCTTCCGATCCTGGCAGATCATGTTCCTCATATTTGGATTGATCACCATCGCCGTGGGAATATGCGTCATTATATTCCTCCCAGACAATCCGATGGCGTCACGGCTGACCCATGAGGAGAAGCTTCTGGCGATTGAGAGTCTCCGGGAGAATCGGACAGGTATCGAAAACAAGCATTTCAAAATGTACCAATTCGTAGAAGTATTCAAGGACCCCCAGACATACTTCATTGCCGTGATCGTGACGGCAATGGACATCTCCAACGCCGCCATCAGCAGTTTCTCCGCGCTGATCATCAAAAGCTTCGGCTACACCACCAAGGAAACCGAGCTACTCACCATCCCCGGCGGCGTGGTCAGCGTGATCAGCATTCTCACAGGCACGTATCTGGCCGGTCGCTTTGATCAGCGATGCCTGAGCCTCATAGGGATCCTCGCCTGTGGGCTCCTCGGAGGCTGCTTGATGGCTTTCTCCCATGATGGAATGAAAGACACCGAGCTAGCTGGCAACTACCTGACCAACTGTGTCGGGGCCGCTCTGCCGTTGATGTACTCCATTGCTGGTGCTAATGATGCAGGCCACACCAAGAAAGTCATCATGAACGCTATCGTGCTAGTCGTTCTGTCTCGGAAATATTCTGGGCCCGTTGACGTTCCGCACGGAGGACGAGCCAGACTATATATCGGCAAAGATTGCGATTGTCGCGACTGTCTCGGTAGCAATTGTTTTCTCCATCCTGTTGAAGTGCTACTATATGTATCAGAATCGGCGTCGCGATATGAAGGGCGAGGGACAGCGTCCGGAGAACTCTGACTTTTTAGATCTGACTGATAGGGAGAATCCGGATTTCAGGATGAGTCCGCCTCGTCTGCGGTACAGCATGCTTCTGACGGCTGCGACTACAGTACAAACATTGAGAACTCAACGATCCATCATTGAAGGTCGATTCTATAGTCTATATACATGATATACGATATGCAATGCAGTGGTATCTTTCTAGTACACCAATAAGCAGAGGTGAAGGGGAACGCGTCATCAAATTCAAGCCGCAACCTGTGTGGTCTTGAACTCCTCGCTGGGCTCGTAGTCGATGTAACCCTTAGGATCCTTGGGCAAATAGAAGAACTCTCTCTCGTATGGCCGGAGAGGGATACCGGCCTTGATCTTGAAAGGCAAGTCAGGGTTCGACGTCCATGGACGGCCAATCCCAACCACGACGTCATAATCCTTGTAGTGCGAGTCGACCGCCTCCCGAGCAGAATCAGCCTTGTAGCCACCCGCAATAATAACAGGAGTAGCACGGCCATACGCCTCAAGGAAGAAATCCAGCTGATCCGTCGACTCGGTGTCCGCGTTGCCCGAAATCCGCGACTCGACAAGATGCACATACGCCAGCTTCAACTCCGCCGTCTTCTGCGCCAGGTAGCTGAACTGCGGGATCGGGTCCGCCATCCGCATCCCCTGGAAGCTACTCCACGGGCTGAACCGGATCGCCGTGCGGTCCGCACCAACAGCCTCCACAACCGCACGGAGGACCTCGAGCGCGAAGCGCGCGCGCTTCTCGACACTCCCGCCCCAGGCATCCGTGCGCTTGTTCGCCGTGTCCTGTGTGAACTGGTCGATGAGGTACCCGTTCGCGCCGTGGATCTCGACGCCGTCAAAGCCCGCGGCGATGGCGTTGCGCGCTGCCTGCGCATAGTCCGCAATCAGCGCATGGATTTCCTCCTCGGTGAGGGGGCGCGGCGCAGGCGCCTTCTCGTCCGTGGGGACGTCGCTGCTAGACACGAGGTCGAACCCGCCTTCTCTCTTGAGGACTTCGGGGCTCGCGACCCGGCCCAGACCCCACAGCTGCATGTAGATGTACGAGCCCTTGGCGTGCACGGCGTCGGTCACCTGGCGCCACTGCGCGATCTGCGCCTCGCTCCAGATCCCCGGCACGTTGGCGTAGCCGCCTGCGCGCGGCGAGACGAGCGTGGCTTCGGTGATGAGGAGGGTGCCGGGGACGACGGCGCGTTGCTCGTAGTGCTCCTTGACCATGGGGAGGGGGACGTGGTCGTCGTCCACGCGGAATCGGGTCATGGGGGCCATGGCCAGGCGGTGGCCGAGCTGCATGCGCCCGACCTGTATGGGGGAGAAGAGTTTCGACATGGTGGGTTTCTTAGGATTTTGCGGTCTAGAAATCACTCGAGACGTGATACCAGCACAGTTATTCTCTGTAGGGTATTAATTGGAACGAGGCAATACGGCGAGGGAGGCCGTCAGGCTTTTATCCTACAATCTCTGGAGAGCATTGTGTCTTAAAACAACACTATACATATTGTAGAACTGCCCTGCTTGATTTCAAATCACATCCGATTCCCGAGGATTGGAAATGCAGTGGGGCAACCGAAACTCAGCGAAGGCAGCTCCATAACGAGAAAAGGGGGACAGTAGATACAGATAAAGGGAACAGACAATAATACTTGCATATTCGCAGACATTCGAGATTGATTGGCCGTTGTAAATTTTCGCTGACAAATGCTTCGGACCAATTTCACGTCCAATTGATGCCTGAGGCGGACCAGATAATGGGTGCTTGTTGGTGTGGCGGCTTCAGTCCTTGCCTCAGGCTGTCAGAATCTCTCCGACGAGGGAGAGATACAGAATGATCCTACAGGCTACAACAGTTGAAGGCTGTGCGTTCGTAACGCTGCTACATTCAGTCTCGACTAAACAGAAGTAGGGTACGAGTGTGCACCGGTGTATATCATGTCAAGTACATGCGGTATGCAAATCATATGCTCTGTTCGCCTATCACCACCCAGAGGAGTATCCTGATACACACAATTCAGCAAGTCGTCAAAGGGTATTGAGCGTCATAGTAATTAGCAAACAAGAATAAACAACATTGTCAGCTCTCCATTTTGCGAGCTGTAGCTTCCAACTGTGCATTGAAGCTTTTGATCTGGTCCAAGAGACCACCTTGAGCTCCGGGAGCTGTTGAGCTCACGGCTTCTGCAACGCTACGGAGCATAAACTCCAGGCCAACTGTGGGGGAAGCATCAGCCGATTCTGCATCGTCAGCATCGGCGGAAGCGCGATTCTGACTTCGTTCGACCGCAAGCTCCAGACTATGCAAGGAATTGTTGATAGAGATGCGGGCCTGGAAACATCAGATACCAATCCAAGGCACATCAAAGATGTAGTTATAGACTTCGGACTGGGGGGCATAGCTTACCATTCTCGTACTTTCCTCCTCCGCATGCTTTCTGCGCACTGCATCCATCCGTAAAGCAACCGCCTCTCTCTCTTTGCGGGCTTGGTACAGCCGGCCCCGCATGTCCATCATTTCCCGCTTTGCTTTCTTCAGCTGGAGGCCGAGAACAAAGTTGCTATCCAGCATCTCGCTCAACTCAAACAGTCGACCCTCGAGTTCTGTTTCGTAAGCTTCGACTGCCTTCTTCTTGCGGGTCCATTCCGCACGTCGTGCGGGATTGGTCTCATTGGCTATTCCGTTCGTCAAAGTAGCGAGGGTCTTTTCCAGTGTCTCTCGGCAAATCTGGCTCAATACATCGGCTGGGTTGACGCCCCCTCTGTTGGGGAGCTTAGTCTTCCCCCTGGTGGCCAGTTCATCAGCCGATTCTCCAACCTCGACTGGTGAACCAGGACCAGAAGGTCCTGGTGCCAGCGAAGCGACATTCACCAGGCGGTGGACAGTCACAGGTACAGTTTCACCGCGAGGCTGTCTAGTCCGTTTCCTTGTAGGTTTAGGATTCTCCTCTTCAACCTCTTGCTGTGTCTCTTGCTCTTCTTCAGGCTGCGTTGCTGTGTTGTCATCCCTTCTCGATACTAACGACGGTCTCCCACGGCGTTTCTTAGGCCGTGAAGAAGTTTCCTGGGCTGTTGGCGATTCTGCTCCGTTTGCAGTCTCGCGTCGCGGCTCGGCCTCAAGTTGCAGCTCAGGCTGAGGCTGATGCTCAGACTCCGGCTCTTCCGCCCTGCCTGGCTCTGGTTGCTCCTCTTGCCGAATTCCCTCACCCGGCTCATCAGATTTGTCTTGCTCAGTCTCTACATGGCGGGTCTTGCGAGCGCGTCCAGCACGCTTGCCCTTCTTCTTCTGGGTTTGTTTCGGCGAAGCCGATTGCTCAACATCCTGGTCCCTTGCTGCAGTGTCGTCGCCGTCCGTCTCAGGTTGTGCCGCGCTCTGTCCGCGGGCTAAGTTGCTATTGGTGACAACGGTCTCGGTAGGAGCATTCGATTTGCTTCGGGTACTCCTTGTGCTTCTGTCTCGAAGTCTCTTGCTCGGATCATCTGGACCCGCCGTTTTCTCCAGCGCGTCACCTCCACTCCGCTCTGAGCCTTCACCAATAGCAGAACGCGTTTGGCTAGATGCCGGCGGCCTGCCCCTTGCGCGCTTCTGGCGCTGAGGCTGTAACTCCTTCATTTCAGTAGCGATGTGCTGCTCATTAGGTACTTCGGGGGCTCGCGTAGGCTGCTGCGTGTCTCCATCGGCTTTGGCTTGTTCTGGTATCGCCTGCTCTTCCATCGCCTGCTCTGCGACGACTTCTTGCGGCATCACCGAAGCTTCTGGTGGAGGGCGATCGTGGGTTTCTGACTCTTGTCTGCTGCGCTCGGAGTTCATGGTATCCAGGAGAGGTGAATTCGAGCCGTTCTGTAGTTGTAGGCGACTTCGCATCACCGTAGCCTCTTCCGCTGCCCCATGACCCTCCGGGTTCTCACCCGCCTTTGTCAGGTCATCGACCAGGCTGTTTGATGTTGACGGAACGGCCGGTTCAGGCGCGTCTTCGGATACTTGTTCGGCGCTTGTGGTAGGTGCCGCAGCCTGTGGTCCATCACGAATACCTTCTTGTGCGCTCCTCGTCGTGATGTCCGGCTGGGGCTGTGCTAAACTCGTTTGCTGGGCTGTAACGTCTAAATTCACCGATGTCTGGGCAACCTTGCTGGGAGATTCTTAAATGTCACATTGTTAGATACTGTAGTCAAAGTATTACGAAACCCTCAACAACATACCAATTTTTCTCCGTTTGCTGCTGCGCCCAAGTTCTAACTCCCCATCTGAGGGTATATCGAACGTCGACGGTCGTTCGGGGAGGCCATTGCGCGCACTTCCTGGTGTCCGCTGGCTAGAACCTAGATTTCGAGAGGAAGGTGTCCGTGCTGGCGATAGCCGCGACGATGTTGTTTCTCCTAGAGCTGACGTTGTTTGTGGAGAACCAGCTGGTTCGGTGGCAGTGACAGTCGCGGCGGGTTGCGACGCGGGTTCCGACGTGGACTCTGCGGGTGCCGAAGCAAGTCCAAATGAGAATTCAAAATCAATCGCTTTCGTTTTGCGCGTCCTGTCATATAAATCATGCGGTTAGCATCCTCCTTTCTTGATCAGTCGGGGAGGTGAGTCGGATAAGTGATGCGCGTACGCTGCTCCGCGCTGCCGCATTTGCAGCCGCTCCTCTCGATCTGTCGCAATTGCATTAGTCTATCACTTGATATAATTGAAATTAAAAGCATACTAGAATTCATGATGGAGAAGCGGCGCTGTTCAACGCGCGAATCGACACGATATGCTGTAAGTGAAGCTCGAGATCGAGCTTTGTTGTTGCATGTAGAGCAGCTGGATGGAACTACTGAGGGATGGACTACATTGACCCAAAACGGTTTGGCGGGGAACTGAGGGAGGCCCAAATTATCGGCTTCCTTTCCCCATCTCCGCAGTCCAACTGGATATCTGTCGCCAGAGCTCAGCTATTTTCAGTTGTCTTTTTCTCTACTGTATAAGATTCGCAACCACTGACGATATAAAGTAAGATGGGTTGGTTCTGGGGCAGCTCGAACCAAGATGATCCTGTCAAGAAGCTGGACCCGGGCCTCAGAGAGTACCTTGAAAATGAAGCTCCAGCAAAATACGTGCCTACGACATCGATTCCTTCAACGCAAGAACCTTCAAAGACGTTAGATCCTCAAACCCGAGCACCAAAGCCAAGCGAGTCTGCCGAAACTGGCGAGGCTTCGCAACCCTCCGTTCCCTCCGCTTCACTTTTCCCCGATGGCCGGTATTCTCATCTGTGGAAAACCTACAAGCCTCCTCAGGAAGAGGGCGGATCAGTAACCAAGGGCGCGGAAAGGGTGATTGAGAAGTACAAGAAGCATAATGACACCGTGCACCGGGCAGCCATGGAAAATTGCGCATTGGAGCATGAGGCCTTGACGTTATGTTTCCAGACCGGTAATTGGCAGAAGCGACTGCAAGCTCGTGTGACTTCCTGCTCTGAGGAAAACGCAACGTTCTCTCGTTGTTTCACCACTCAATCTGTAAGTATCGGAATTGCTACTCCAGAACCTTTTTGGGGGGGCAGTGTACGCTGATACCGGCTCAGAAATTCCTGCAGGCATTAGGCTACGCCGCCTCATTCGATTGGGACGAGGAGAAGGAAGAACGAATTCAAATGCATGCGGATAAACTCTACCACCAGATGTTGGATTATGAAAAGCGAGTCGCGGAGTGTCGGGTGGCTGGTCAGGAACCACCGCCCCTCCGATCGCTCTTTAACCCGCAGGCGAAGCCCCAGCAACTCAAATCCAACGATACCCCGGGCAGTCTTGAGGTCCCCGGTGTTGAGCAAATTCCACCCGGATTCAAACCATCGAAGTCACTGGAGCAACTTACACCCCATGAGAGGGAATTGGAGATTCGGGCACACAACGCGCAGATCGAAAAACAAAAGATGTATGTGCAAGAGGCCAGTCCGTTCATGAAGACACAGGAGGATGCACGTTTGAAACGGCGCGAGAAGGCTGTCAGTTGGTTCGGAGAGACGATTGGTAAATGGGTTACATGATAATCAAGATCTTCGACAGGTTTCCTCCCTTTCTTTGTATTATTACTCTTGCATCATTGAAGCAGTCTCAGTGGAAAGATGTAGCATTATGGTTTCGGAAGCGAGTGTTTGGCGTTCACCATGGGATGCGGAATGAATGAATTAGTTTTGTTACTTCTCTAGCACACAAGTTCTATTTATTAGTAGTATTTACCTGATCATGAGGGTGACATCTTTCGAAGATTTAAAGCACTGCATGGCATCATGTACAGTACTGTAGACCCCTTGGTAGATATATGGAGCGATAGAGACTGGTTATCACGTATCGTGACTACACTAATCATGGCATCGGAGTATGAAGTCGAAGATCTTAACAGCCAATATTTGTAGAATCTCGGTGCAAATCCATGCATTCATGTAAAGTAAAGCCCGATTTGGTTAAAATGGAAGATGTGCTGCGATTCGCCGAGCGCGTCGGCGTGAGACACGAGGAAGCGACACGGGCAACCAGCGAACAAACCAGCATCAACCAACGACATCACCACTCGTCGACAGCTGCCATTGTGTTCGACCTCATTTGCATTATTGGATGAGCTCGAATCCGCTATTCTCCTTTCATTCTCCCGTTGTCCTCATAACCAAATACTGGCTATCGAATTTGTCTTACAATACCTCGCTCCTCAATAAACGGAACGTCCGATTATTGTTCCACGTTCTCCGCAGTAGCTGCTACTGTAACTTTACTAACTACACGCACCCTTACGGATTTCCAGCTTTGAAAGATACCCATCTTGACACGATTTCGACCTTCTGAACTGCCCTATTCGAAAGCGATCGTTCCCGATCTCATTAACACAGACGTTCTGGGGCATTGAGCTTTTGTGCTCACCATGAAGGCTACGCCGTTGCTCATCGCGTGGCACAACGACAATGCCCCAATCTACTCGGTCCACTTCGACCCCAATGGTAGAGGGCGCCTTGCTACAGCTGGAAAGTACGTCTAGGTGACCTCCTCAATATATCCGTCAAGGCGTTGCTAATGTTTCACGTCTAACTTAGTGATAACAATGTCCGAGTATGCCTCCAACCACCATCTCCTCCCTCCCTCTCTCGCTCCCTTCGTCGTCTCTGACCTCGAATCATTAGATATGGAAAGTCGAGTCTACAGGCGAAGATCGAAAGGTGACCTATCTAAGCACACTTGTGAAGCACACACAAGCTGTCAATGTGGTCCGCTTCAGTCCGAAAGGTACATACGCCGGGTTTTCGATAATGAGATAACACTCTTCTGATGTATTGCTCTAGGCGAGATGCTGGCATCTGCAGGAGATGATGGCAACGTTCTTCTCTGGGTCCCGTCAGAGCTGCAGACCCAGCCTGGGTTAGGGGAGGACCGTTCGGACGACAAGGAAACGTGGCGTGTGAAGCATATGTGCCGGTCATCAGGTGCTGAGATTTATGACCTTGCGTGGTCTCCAGACGGGGTCTTTATCATCACAGGGAGCATGGACAATATTGCTCGAATATACAACGCGCAGACTGGTTCGTTAAGTTCTCGTCGCCTCTCCTAGAATTCGTATCCCCATCATGAGGCTAAAACCGAATACTTTCAGGGCAAATGGTCCGGCAGATTGCGGAGCATTCGCACTACGTTCAAGGAGTGGCTTGGGATCCTCTGAACGAATTTGTTGCTACCCAGTCATCAGATCGATCTGTCCACATCTACAGCTTGAAGACAAAGGATGGCCAATTTACATTAACGTCTCACGGGAAGTTCCTAAAGATGGATCTTCCAGCCAAACGCATCTCGTCCAGCAGCCCTGTTCCGCCGGACATCTCTATTCGATCCCAGCCCGCAACAGGCAATTCCGTTGCCATTGCTTCTCCCGCTACTTCAACTCCGGGTACGCCATTGACTTCTCATTTACCTATGGATCCTCCTCCGGTATCTCATAGTCGTCGTTCTTCCTTTGGCTCGTCCCCCTCGATTCGCCGCTCTGCATCTCCGGCACCTTCCCTGCCGTTACCTGCTGTTAAGCCTTTAGAAGTAGCCTCGCCAAACGTCCTGGGTGGTCTCATAGTCAAGAACGCCAACATCTATGCCAATGAGACTTTCACATCATTCTTCAGGCGACTGACTTTCACCCCTGATGGAAGTCTGCTGTTCACTCCAGCTGGCCAGTACAAGACCACGCATGTTCCTGCCACAGACCCCACAAAAACTACGGATGAGATCATTAACACAGTGTACATCTACACCCGCGCAGGCTTCAACAAGCCCCCTGTCACTCATCTGCCGGGCCATAAGAAGCCCTCCGTTGCAGTCAAGTGTTCCCCAATTTTGTATACCTTGCGCAAGGCTCCTCAGCCTGCCCGACATATTACGCTGGATACCTCCTCTGGAGAAGAATCCTTTGCATCTCTTCCTGAACCAGCAGTTTCCACGAAGCCGACGCCTGACAAGCCTTCCATGGAGCCTCCGTCGACTCCTTCTGCAAGTGAGTCGTCTAAAGCTAACACGGCGTCCAAAAATGCCGAGAGTGAAGGAGCTTCTGCTGGCCAGAGTCCGAGTCCGGTTTTCTCGTTACCATACAGGATTGTGTACGCGGTGGCTACGCAGGACGCGGTTCTTGTGTACGACACGCAGCAACAGACTCCCCTGTGTGTTGTGAGCAACTTGCATTTTGCGACATTTACAGATCTCACATGGTGAGTTCTATGCCATTTGATCTATAATGTGTTCGGTACACTGACAAAAAACAGGTCGAATGATGGCTTAACTTTAATAATGAGCTCCTCTGACGGCTTCTGCTCAACGTTGTCATTTGCTCCCGGAGAGTTGGGCCAGCCGTATACACCTCCAGTGGGAACAGCTCAGCATCCTGCTAATGCTGGCACCACGTCCGCGAATCAAGCACCACTACCATCCCCGGCCAATATCCCCTCGCCCCTCAAGTTGAGTCAACCCTCTCTGAGCTCGACACCGGCCCAGCCAGCCGAAGTACCTCCAGCGAGTCCCGCACGATCCAACTCCACCTGCTCAATGACTACACAATCTCCCGTTCAACAGGTAACGGCGCAGCAACTGGGGGATTCTGTGGTCAACAATCCAACACCTACTCTAGGATCAGTGCCGCTCGTCACTGCCACTAACTCGGCTCAACCACCGATTCTGCCGCTAACTACACCACCCCAGACGCCGATGTCTGCAGTCACGCAAATTGGGACAAACTCTATGAGCAACAGTGTCTTGGGCAAAAGGGACATCAGCGAGTCAGAGAAGGAGGAATCAAAGGACCAGAGTTCGGTCCCGCAAGTACAACAGCCGAAGAAGAGACGCGTGGCCCCGACTCTTATTTCCGCCGGCACGAACTCCAATCCTCCCCCTTCCTCTTCATCTCCGAACGATGAATCTCATAATGCCGGCGTTGGTGGCTGAGCCTTCCTTGAGCAATTACTTATAGTCTTGTTAGGCATTGACGAACTTGAGTTTTCGGTTGGTTGTCAACACAACTTCAAATTTCAGTGTTCATAGCACAACCTTAATGATTTATGTTACACCTACCAATTCTCCTTTCTTCCATTCGTCTGCCTACGACCCTTTGTTTTTATTATAATCTGGCTTGGGGAGTCTGTCCGCCGCGTGCCTGGGTCCAGATGTTGGGTCGGGCACTGTCGTATCTTTTTGTATGGCACGATGTAATTTCACCTTCTTTCATTCCGAACCAATTCGAGATTTGCTGTGACCTCGACTTTCTTCGGCTCATTTTTGTCTAACATCACATCAGAGGCCTACGAATAATTCCATTGCAGGGAGGGAGCGAGTTGTCCATTCTGTTTAAGGCTTTTGTCATCCGAAGCAACAACTTAGCGTGAGGAGTGATTGTTGAATGTTCTATTCATTTGTACCTCATGCTTGTTGCTCCCTAACTAACCAATGTACGTAAATGTGGTCTTATCCCCTGTCTGGTTGTAGTACAGTCGACCGACTACTTCTTTACGGAAGAGATAATAGCATAGGAGCAAGGAAGGAAATAAGGATGTATATTCATCTGTCTAAGCGTCTAGACACATTACCCATTAGGATCCACGTGTATCCCTCTTCCGGAAGAATGGAAAGTAAGGCTAAGGTACAAAGGAAACAGGAGAAGGAAATCATGCCGTCATGCTGTAGGTATCGTAGCAGAAGTTCAACAAGGTTAACTTAGGGACATTGCGTCTTGAGTGTCGCCGCCGTCATGAGGAAGGGGAAGAGTTGTCACCACCATTGACAGTCGGTTCGTGGCCGTTCGCACCATTCACACTCGAGGAAGTCAGGGTGTTGACAACGTCTGCGATGCTCATGCCAGTGGGAAGCACTGCCGTAGCCTCAGTGGCGTGAGAGCCCACGGTGACCGTGGTCACCTCCGGGATCTTATTTTCGCCATGCAGACGGTTGGCCCAGCGGAAGAGCGCCTCATCTCCACGGGAACCGCCGGCCACAAAAAGGAAGTCCGGAGTCTCAGGCAACTGCTCCAGGATAGACTCTGCGGCCTTGGCTTTTGTGATGTCTAAGGGTTCGACGCTGACTGTTCCATCTGTGAGGACGACGCGGATGGCCTCGCTGCCGCGGGAGCCATTGATCATGTCGGCAAGGTCGGAGGCCTGCCGGGCGGCGATCTCGGGATCTTGGGCATTGTTGTACCAGAAAGTCAACAGACAGCGACGTTCCTCCAAGACGCTACCGTCTGTTCTTTCCTGGTAGTATTGGATAACTCGACGGATGCCGTTCCTCCAGTCCTTCGCTCTCTCCATATCCACCAGCGGCTTCCACTGCGTTGTTCCAATTTCCCGCTTGAAACAACCGTTCTCGGCGATGTATCCGATTTTATCGGAGAAGCTCGCAAATTGGGATTCGATCTGCTCCGGGCCTTTGTTGCTTGTGACGTAGACCAGGTTCTTTGGATCGCGGAGAAGTGCTTCAAGCAGCCACGGTGTTGCGGCGAACACAGAGTCGGCAGAAGCGATGGCCCCTTCGTCTTCGAGAAAGAAGAGTCGCTTGGTCGCCTTCTCGTATGACTCCTTCAATGCGGGTACAGACAGTGTTGCGACAAGACTGAGTTCGCGGGACAATTGCGCGCTGTGAGCTTCGGCAAGGGCTGTCTTGAACGAGTTGCACCACGCTACGGCTGTGTGAGGTGCTTTCCTCTCAAGCAAGAACTCCCAGTTGCGTTGCTTCTGTTCGGGTGACATTTCCAGTGCCTTGTTAATCGCATCTGCAACCTCTCTGTAGTCCCACGGGTTAACGAGAAACTCGTGTCCATGAAAGATCGAAGCACTGCCAGTGAATTCACTCAGGATCAGGGATCCATGGTATTGCGGCGTCACTTTGCCATCCTGGCAGTGGATGTAGTCCTGACTTGTCAAGTTCATACCCTCTCGCAGACTTGTTACCATAAAAATCTCCGCCACGCTCATCAAGGCGAGGAATTGGGAGTAACTGATGTCTTGACTCAAGAGCACGAGCGGCTGGTGAGTAAGGGTCGAATACTTGGAATTTATCCTCGTTGCTATCTTTGAGATTTGAGACTCTAGTTCAGGCATCTCAGATGCCGATGCTATCTGAATGAGAACGACCTGTGTTTATCAGTACGTCGGTTCGTAGCTCAATTAGAATATGGCAACTTACGTTTTCCCTCCACTTGGGATACTTCTTCAGGAACAGTTCGTATGCCAGCAGCTTTTGCTTGATCCCGCCCGGTGCATCCAATCGATCCCTTGCGACAATCAGGTGCTTACCGCTGTACCTGGAAGAAATATTCGCGATCCAGTCCTTTACCTCGTTGGTTTGGCGTAGGCCATCCAGGGCGTTGGCGTCGATTCCAATAGGGATACTCTTGACGCGGACAAATCGATCTTTCAGTTGGACGCCGCCAACGGTCACTTCTAAACTGAGAAGACGGCTACAGGTCTGCAGAAAATGGTGGCAGTACTCCTCTGTCTGGAAGCCGACAAAGTCAGAGCCGAGCAGACCATTCAGTAGTGCATCGCGAGGATTCAAGCAGCGGAACACCTCGGAGGATGGGAAAGCAGCATGCATGAAGAAACCAATCTTTGCCTGGGGTAACCGTTGTCGGAGCATCTGTGGAAGAAGTAAAAGATGGTAGTCGTGGATCCAGATGCTATCACCAGGACGCCATCGAGCAACGATGGTGTTGGCAAACGCTTCGTTGACCTTGACATATTGTTTCCAGGAATAGTCGTCGTATTCAGTGTGTCGGGGGCTCTCTTGCATCTGATAGTGGAAGGCTGGCCACAGAACTGAACGGCAAAAATGGGTATAATGGCCGTCGAACTCGCTATCGCGTACGAATACCGTCAGCGATTCGTACTCATCTTCGAGTGTCTCGAAAATGCTGGCGCGTGTCGCATCCTTTAACAAGTCGGTAGGCATGCCTAGTGTGCCCACCCACATCTTGTCTGTCAGAATACCGGCTTCTTCGGCTGCATAGACTGCATTGCGCAGCCCACCATTGCCTTGCTCTGCCGCTTTGACAACCCAGTCATCAACAGACAGTAACGCACGTGGACTTCCATGATCCTCCTCAGAATCTGGAGTTTCTAAAACTCCATCGCAGAACTGGCTGTTCAGGTCATCCCCAGCATCCGACGCTCTTAGGATTGACGGTTCGGGATGGACTTGAGCCGTGGATCGCGGCTGATTGAATTTACGACTCTGACCCCAAGAAATGGTTCTAGGTTCGCTAAGCCCAGGACCGTTGGGATCGTCTGCCTGGGGGATCTCGCCCGCTGACCGAGAGACATACGGCTTGAAGATTCTTTCGTCATCTGTAGTCGCACCGGGAGTCAATGAGAGACTGAGCGACTTGTTGTGGCGTCTCTGGCGCGCCTCTGCCAGCCGACCAATAACATGGTCGTCTATAGGAGTGTGGCTGAGGGATGACTTGCGACGAGCATGTCTCAGCTCGGTGGCTTGGAAGTCAATGGTATATGGAAGGAAACTAATGTGGTATGTCAGATTATCACGGCCGCTAACCATCTGAAGCTAAGGGCATGCAACAATGAGGGACATAACATACAGCGAGGCTATGTAGACCGTCATTGATTCTGATGGAAGGAGGAGAAGCCTGAAGACCTCTCCGACACCTCAAAGAAAAGATTTATCTGCAACGTATTCAAGAGTATTATTATGGAGTCAACCACTATGAGGTAGGTAGTAATTTCAACCTTGAGGAATTCAGGCCAAAGAGGTAAGCGGATGATGTATGGAGAGGGGGGCTGCGGACCAAGGGATGAGTCGCGACGATGGATGGCACTGATCGTTAAACTAGGTTGGTGATAATGATGGAGGAGAAGAGTGGTGTCTATAAGTTTCTGCGGGTCAGTCAAACTGATGCATCCTGAAATTGCCGGTGACATTTAGACTAGACATCCTCGCAGCATCTTGAATAAACAAAGGGTTCATGACGTTGATGATTGGACCATGGAACCTGCGTGTTTAGGATGAGGCATATGATGGGACAGAAAAGAACATTCTGGGCTTTTCTTGGGTAGGAGAGGGACAAGAGGGGGAAATCTTCCACAAGAGAGAGAGAGAGAGTCAAAACGAGTTTCCATACTGATAAGGTAGAAAAGAACTCAAAAGCGCCTGACAGAAACCGGAGACGAGGAAGGAGGGGATGGTCTCCCTTGGGCATCATCATTAATATCACCGTCAGTCTCATCTTCATCCAACTGGACGACCATCGATATGAGGGGTTTTCCCCCTGGGCTGCCAGTGGATGATAAATGGCTTAATTGAGTTCATTTCTCCCTTCCTTCATCGACTATCTAGTCTCTTTCTAGATATTATTCCATACCTGATCGAGGTACCTACATAGACTGAAACCTATCAGGGTGTGAATGTGCATGACCTGCATACTTGTTCTGTCAGATGTGATATGCCATAGATTCAACGGCCTAATAGGCGCTCTAGATTGTCTAAGGACGGATCTGCCCGGCATTCAGGCCAGAAAAAAGCTGTCATTGGGCCATTCCCTGCTCGAACCAGTTGGTCAGATATGTGGGTGTGGGACTAATAATGTATGGAAGAAGTCTCGATATCTCGTTAGTAGTTCCCCCACTATGGTTAGGGATCTTTCGAGACAGTTCGATAAAAAGAGTCGCGAGTCTGGACCCTCCGCTTCATCTATGTGCGATGTCCCTGTTTCTGCTTGTTGAGAAGCAGATGGAATCGTCCCTACTATGGTATGATGTAGACTACTTCCCCTCTGCTATTCTCGAAATTAAGAATCATCCATGGTTGATCAGGAAGCACTAATTCTGGAAAAGAATTGTATTGCTAAAACTAAGGTGCCTTCAAAGTACCCCTCCTATACTCTCTAGTTTGGGCGACAAACACGAAAAACGTCACCGCTAAGGGTAACATCACCAGCAGCTTCCAGACTGCTGGCGCTCTTCCAAGATTTTCTTCTTGCTTCTTCCTTTCCTGATTATCTTCTTTGACGTTAATTACTCAATCTCTAATATCACTCAAACTACCGTATCAGCATTAGATATCTCAGTCGCATCTAATCCCTTATCCTCATCTATTCCCAAGCAAACTAATTGCACTTTTACCTTGAAGCGGGGCATCTGTTCCCAGGTCGCGCACCTCTCTGCGAGATAAGTACGATAGCTACGAGTTCTTTCTATCATGTCCAGCACGAACGGGTCGCAAGGCGACCATCGCCTCCTGATTGTCTCGAATCGCCTTCCCATCACAATCCGACGGTCGGAAGGAGGAAAATATGAGTTCTCCATGTCATCGGGCGGTCTGGTAACTGGGTTGAGTGGTCTGTCGAAAACAACCACTTTCCAGTGGTACGGCTGGCCAGGTCTGGAAGTTCCAGAGGATGAAATTGAGTCGGTGAAGAAGAGGCTGAAGGATGAGTTTAATGCAACTCCGGTGTTCATGGACGACAAATTGGCTGATCGTCATTACAATGGGTTTTCCAGTAAGTGACCACCACCAACAGTCTATACAGTCTGCTCCTGGCGGTGTGCGAGCGACTACATCAACCTTCAATGGCTAACTCCAGTATTCAGACTCGATTCTATGGCCCCTCCTTCATTACCACCCCGGCGAGATCGTTTTCGACGAAGGCGCTTGGGATGCCTATCGTGAGGCCAACCTTCTATTCGCCAAAACAATTGTAAAGGAGGCGCAAGACGGCGACCTGATTTGGGTACAAGACTATCATCTCATGCTCCTTCCAGAATTGCTCCGCGAGGAGTTACGGAAGGCGGGCAAAAAAGATAACAAAATCGGGTTCTTCCTGCATACACCTTTTCCCAGCAGTGAAATATACAGAATCCTCCCCGTGAGAGGCCAGCTTCTGCGCGGTGTGTTGCATTGTGACTTGATCGGCTTCCACACCTATGACTATGCACGTCATTTCTTGAGCAGCTGCTCACATCTACTGTAGGTTTGCTCGATATCCCATTCATGCTTCGCGATAGTTGCTAATCGCGCTCTATAGAGGCCTGGTCACGACCCCGAGCAGCGTCAAATACGAAGGCAGATCTGTAGCCGTAGGCGCTTTTCCGATTGGTATCGATCCTGATAAGTTTACCGAGGGTCTGAAGAGCCCCAAAGTGCAGAATCGCATCGCAAGCCTCGAGAACAAGTTCCAAGGCACCAAACTGATGGTCAGCGTTGATCGCTTGGACTACATCAAGGGTATCCCGCAGAAGTTACATGCCTTGGAGGTCTTTCTTCAGAACCATCCGGAGTGGGTAGGCAAGGTCGTCCTTGTTCAAGTTGCCGTTCCCAGTCGACAGGATGTCGAAGAGTACCAGAACCTCAGAGCGGTGGTGAACGAGCTTGTGGGACGTATCAATGGCAAATTTGGTAAGAAAGGTTCCCCTTGGTCAAGTTCGCTGATAACACATGGCTGATATCCTCACTCAAACAGGTACTGTCGACTACATGCCTATTCACTTTATGCACAAGTCAGTTGGCTTTGATGAGCTCATCGCCCTGTACGCTGCCTCCGACGCCTGCATTGTCTCCTCTACTCGAGACGGGATGAACCTGGTATCATTCGAATACATTGCAACCCAGCAGAAGCGCAAGGGCGTTTTGATCCTTTCCGAATTTGCAGGAGCCGCTCAAAGTCTCAATGGTAGCCTCGTTGTCAACCCATGGAACACCGAAGAGCTCGCCAGAGCGTATCATGAGGCTGTTTCGATGAGTGACGAACAGCGCGCCCAGAAGTTTGAGAAGCTTTACAAGTACATTTCCAAGTACACGAGGTACGTATTTAACCCTACGAGTTCATTACCAGTGTGCATACTGATCGCGTCCAGTGCCTTTTGGGGCAAATCGTTTGTGGCAGAACTACTTCAATGCTCGTCATGATGTGTTGAAAGCTATTCCTTTCTTTTCCTCGTTCTACTCTCCTCTGGGGTATGGATTCAAGGGTGGCGAACTGTCCTTGCACAATGCATAGCGATGACCAAACAATAGGTAAATAGAATAATAGTGATAATAGGCAACGAGACACGAAGCAATTTTTATTTTCTTTGATTGAGGTCTTCTCTTCAATTGTGAACATTCAGACCTCCATCAACTCGAGACGTAAACGCTCAAATGTCACACTGAAGTCATGCTGAAGATCCCTCGTTGTCATTAGCATTGACATGAATTCTGCCTTAGGCAATCCTAGATGCATACTATGTCTAGGGATAGAGCATGAGATCATAATGACTACGACAGACATTTCCAGGAATTTAGGATATCAAAAACACCTACTTCTTCTACCCCGCATCTTGGAAGTAAGCCCAGTTTGAACCGACAAACCGATAATTGCAATCGTAATTCAACAATATCTACTACTGTGTACTGATCTTCCTGCTTTAATATGGTACAAGTTACTGTGATCGACGGCAAGTATGTAAAGCCTCCTCCAGTTGTATCCTCAGCTTTCAAACATGAGCCACTCAGAATCTTGGCTTATCGGTCTGGCTAACTCTTTGGAACTAGTACTACCTTAGTGGCTTAGTAGTCCTGGCGCAGCAGGCCAGTCGGGACTTGTGAAGTCGGGAGCCTCATACGGACGGCACTGCCTTACCTTACCTTACTACTTACCTACTTTATACTTTCCAAAACAAGGTTGGTGGCATTCTATTGGCTGTTTCAGGCTTACTTCTATGCGTTAGTTGGTGTCGATCGCAGGATCAGCTATTATTATTGTACGTCGTACTCCGTGCTCTACCTCCAACTTCTCAAAAAACTATGGCTATCATGTAGTCTAGACCCTACTTTGGGCCTCCCCGAGAAACTGTTCATTCCTCTTGAGATTTTCCAAGATCACCCAAATCAAGAGAACCTGGAAGGAGTTTGCAAGGTCTGCGTGCAAAAAGCCAGACTGTCCCAGAGTGACTAGCTCAGGGTCTAGGGATCGAGAGAACTGACTGTCATGCGGTTGCAATCAGAAACCGGTTTAGTGGAGTGGATCCTACGCGTCGCGCTAGTCGGATCTTGGTCTAATGCCAAGACGGACGCTTGCGCGTCTCCGCCACCAAGTCTCCCTCCTAGGGATAGGATGCGGTAATCCTGTAACGCCGGGATGCTGTGTCCAGGCTCTTCTGTTCTGTTTTAATTCCCCGAAGCGCTGGGAAAGGTGCCTGCTCCGTGGGTTGTTCAGGGTCTCAGGGACTGGAGGAAAAAAAGGATCGAAAATGAAATCATACCTACGTTCAATACCTACCTATGTAGTTGCGCGCTTGGGGCCTGGGCGCATACCGGTCTAAGGTACACTTTGCGATCTTCGGTATGATGTGGCAATAAGGCATGATTTGCGGTCCTGGTGAGTGCGCATATCCTTTCGCTCTGCAAATGACATGAACTGCTGTCAGAGTGGGGATGCAAACTAATCAGTTGTGCCCTGTGCACGTAGGCCGCGTATGGATTTGTATTCCGTGGCTTGAAAGTTTCTACAGGGCCTGTATCTCTCTACTCTGTATGACAATAATAATGGATATTTACTTTGGGCTATATCCTACTGGTCAACTACAGTGATCGTTCTTTTGATAGGCTGCTGCTTTACAAGGGAATTTAGATATATGCCGTTCCACGCGACCGTATCGAGCTTAGAACCTAGTCATAGAGAGACAGGCGACTGGCGACCTGGACCTTCTCCCAGAGACCCCGGAATCCTAAAACACCGATCCAAATCAGGATCTCCACGATCAACACGGCCATTGACTATTTTCCGTGGTACGATTACGCTTGTGTGTGACTGTCAGGGTCTTCTCCTATCCAAGTAGACTCGACGACTGATGGCGTATAGGCGCGTCGACGCGTACTCTTGCGCCAAATGCTTGGACGGGAGTGCAGCACATGATCGATACGACTCGACTCGTCAGCTCCATAGCATATTGTATTTGTAGAGCCAGAGCCTGGGTCGGGCCCGCAGTCGGTCCAACCCGCTACATCTACTGAAGGGTATTTTCTCTTCCTGCCGAATCTTGTATCAGTTGTATGCTTTCTGGAGCCGTTCCTGATGCTTCAGAAAATCCTTATCCGCGATCCTCTTATGGCCAATGCTGTTGACGCATATTTGGGCGTAAGGTCTATGACTGGGGGGGTGCATGGTACGGGAGTTGCGTATCCCAAGCATGAAATGGTGACATTTTAGTTTGTTGATCGGAGAGCCGCGTAAGACAGGCTAGTTGACGTCGAATTCGACACTGAATATCCCACGTACCATGGCGTGGATGTGAAGTAGGAAGCTTGGCATTCCTTTGATATGGCGTTGAAGATCATGACTGTAAGGAACCAGATACCTGCCTTCCATACGGAGTAGAGTAGAGATAACGCGTCCAGGCTAGAGGTTGACTGTGCAGGCTTGCGAAGCAGAAAGCTAGATCGTAGCAGTTGGAAGCAAGACTTAGAGAGAGTCATCAGCAGGTGGAGAGAAAACCAGAGTCTTTTTATCATCAGATTTTATCCGAACCAGCGACCCAAGACCTTCGTAGTAGTTACCTAGTTGCAGCCTGCTGGTCATGAAGACGGTAGTGGAGACCATCAATCAGACTCGTAATCTGTTCACTCAAGTGTTTGGCGTTGATCGGTCATCTTTGGTACTCTGTGGAGTATCAGGAACGATGGAACAGCAATTGAAGGTTAAAATACCCGATTTATGAATCCTAAATTATGGCAAGGAGAAATGACGTGGTGGCCATGGTATTGTCCAATTAGCCGATGTAGAATGATTCCCCAGACCCCTGGAGGGAAGAGAAGAACTGACGCCCAGTGTGAGGGTACACGTATGTACGTCTGCATAACCCCAATCGTCGTGCGTGGAAGGGAATCAGCAGTCGTTGGGGACAAGCCCAAAGTGTCTTGGCCATGGTACGGTTAACTGTTTCGGGGCGGGACACACGCGGCTTGCGGTGCACTCGCCGGGCCGTGATTGGGGGAGGAGTCCAAGGCTGACGACGCTTCGCCCTCACTGCTCAAGATTGCTGGCGTGGAAATGGGAAAAAAAAGCTGGAAAAAAAAGAAAAATGGGAAAAGGAAAAGAAAGGCCCCAATAAATGATTCAGGACTGAGAAAATCATACTTTCCTACCTTAATAATATACCACACACTACTACCTATTATCTAGTCTGCCTACCAGCTCCTGATGATGATTCTGTTGCTTGTTGCTTGCTAACCTAACCTGAACCTCACTGACCCTTTCATCTCTCTACCAACACACCTCACCATCTTCAACACCCTATACAATTCTTACTTGCCTGCTACTTACTCGCCACTGATCGCTATCTTCTTCACTTCTCTTTAATTAACAAAAAAAAGGTAACTCATCATCCATCCTTTTGACTTCCCATCTACCTCCTTCAGGATTGCCCGGTTTGCTGCTTAACCACCGCCAAGCGGTCGCCACGCTTGGCTGGGCTGTGCGACCATCGTCACATACCAACTCATCTACCTTGAAATCAACAAACTACGTCGCAGCCAAGTTTACTGACTTTTGTCTTGAGTGACTTAGAAGGCAGGCCTCGTCAGCATCTTAGGAAAGGGTTCATCGGTTCTTAAAACGACCTGGAGGCACAAATCAATCGATCGCTGGTGTAGTCGACCCCCTACCAGCATGGCGGACGGCAGACAACAGCACACTCGGCGGGCGCCAACAACGGACGTTTACGATGCGACCGAATTGACTCGTGCGTTCGAGCAACTGATGCGGACAAAGAGGTTCAATTTACTTCAGGAACAATCAAGAGGCCGATCTCGCACACAATCGCCGTCTCCCGCTCATTCATACCACACACCACCACATCCTTCGCGGGCACCACCACCTCCTCCGACCGGTACCCATTACCCATCGTCTCGGTCACCATCGCAGCAACACCAACAGCATCAATTGCCGGCATCGTCGTCTTTGAGAAACCTTCCAGTCGTTCCCTCCCCCCCTCGAGATCAACAATCATTGAAGTTCCGAAATCTCTTGCACGTTCTATCTGTCACTCCGACCAAATATGAAAACCCCGGCCTCCTCGACGAAGCTCTTTCTCTTATCCCACTCGATCGTCTCTACTCCGAGGCGGAGGAAGAGAGCCAGATAATGCAGGCTCAGGCCGCTAGCGTAGGGGGGAAGCCTGAGTGGGGTTATCAAGACTGCGTTATTAGGGCTCTACTTAGGTTCGTTCCTGCTGGGAATGGTTTTTACTTGATGGCGTTGAACTAACAGTAGATATTTGGATAGGTGGTTCAAGCACTCTTTCTTCCAATTCGTCAACAATCCTCCTTGCTCTCGATGCTTGATGCCTACAATCGCTCAGGGCATGACTCCCCCAACGCCAGATGAAACAGCGCGTGGTGCAACACGGGTCGAACTATACCGCTGCTCGGAATCGTCGTGTGGCGCATATGAGCGATTTCCGCGATATTCTGACGTCTGGCAATTGTTACAGAGCAGAAGAGGGCGTGTGGGTGAATGGGCCAACTGTTTCAGCATGTTCTGCAGAGCGCTGGGTGGTCGGGTACGATGGGTATGGAATTCGGAGGATTATGTCTGGACCGAGGTCTACTCGGAGCATCAAAGGCGTTGGGTGCACGTAGACGCGTGCGAAGAGGCTTGGGATCAGCCGCGCCTTTACACTGAAGGTGGGAAATCTTCGATTCAAGCTACAGACTGTTGTAGAATGCTGACTGACCATATTTCTCAGGCTGGGGTCGAAAGCTATCCTACTGCATTGCCTTCTCCATCGACGGTGCCACAGATGTTACAAGACGGTACGTGCGAAGCCCGGTCAAGCATGGCGCTCCGCGAAGTCGTGTGCCAGAGGAGGTCCTCCTCTGGGTCATTCATGAGATACGGAAAAAGCGACGGGAGAGTATGTCGAAGACGG